AATCTAAAGATGGAATTGCGAGGACACACAGGGCTTCCACGATTCCCTACCTAGGCTCTGCCTAGAAGGGTTTTTACTCTCTTTGTCTAAAGGGGCCGGGCAGTGAAAATCGCCCCGGGCGGTTCCCCCGGTATCCGCCCCGTGGTTCCCCCTGTTACGTCCCCTTAGCTTAGCGTTGCTTATCTCATCTTAGCTTATCAGCCTAGCTTAATTTAGCTTAGCTTAGCTGAGCTTAGCTTAGCCCAGCCTAGCCTAGCTTAGCTTAGCTTAGCCTAGCCTAGCTTAGTTTAGCTTAGCTTAGTTTAGCCTAACCTAGCTTAGCTTAGCTTAGCTTAGCTTAGCTTAGCTCAGTTTAGCTTAGCTTAGCTTGGCGCAGCATTAGCATAGCATTGCATAGCAAAGCATAGTATAACAATTCATAGCATAGCATAACGTGGCATAGCATAGTATAGCATAGCATAGCGCAACATAGCAAAGCATGTCATGGCATAGTCTAGCATAGCGCAGCATAGCATAGTATAGCATAGCATAGCATAGCATGTCTTAGCTTAGCAGAGCACAGCGCAGCATAGCATATCATAGCACATCATAGCGCAACATAGCATAGCATAGCATAGCATAGCATAGCATAGCGCAACACAGCATAGCATGGCACAGCATAACACAGCATATCACAGCATAGCATAGCATAGCATAGCGCAGCATAGCATATCATAGCATAGCATAGCATAGCATAGCGCATCATAGCATAGCATAGCATAGCGCAGCACAGCATAGCATATCATAGCGCAACATAGCATAACATAGCATAGGCTAGCATAACATAGCGCAGCCTAGCATACCTAGCATAGCATAGCATAGCGCAGCATAACATAGCATAGCATAGCATAGCATAGCGCAACATAGCATAGCATAGCATAGCATAGCATCAAAGGGGCTCCAACTCCTAGGTAGGGTCGCTCTGGGATAATTTGCCACAGAAATGGGGGGACAGAGGGGGAGGGGGGGGCGAGAGTGGGGGGGCAAAAAACCCACACCTCCAGCGGTATGACTGCTTCAATGCGGGCGGTCTTCCTCGATTTCGGCCTCTGGGGTCCATTGTCGGGCCCCCGGACCATCGAACAATCGATCCCGAGCGACAAACCGGCCTGGGGGGAAGGGATCGGGACCTCTGGGGACGCGCATTGAACAACGCAGGGCTGGACCCGAACGGTGTGTTGGCCATCTGGTGGACCGTTCTGTCTTCGTTCTGTTTCGCATGCAAGGCGAAGCGGAGGCAGAACGAAGAAGAACGAAGAAGCAAACGGAAACAAAAACACCGTTTAGGTTCAGCCCTGGACAAACATACCCCAGATCCTTCAATCAGCACCCCCCCGTGCCAACCTCTCCGACGCCCCTTGCCCGCCCCCCCACGCGCCCCAAACCTACCCCCTCTCGCTCCCCGATCTCCCCACGCCCCCCGAAGGACAGCGCATTCCTGCCCCCCCACGCGATCCATCCCCCCCACGCTCGTTGAGAGACCTGGAGCATCGTCTGATGCCTGGGACGGCATCAAATGGCACGCACCCGTGGGGAACCCGTCGGCGTGATGCTGCCGCCGACGCCACGAGAAGCCTGCGGGCAGGAGCGGGGGAGCCGAGACACGCAAAAGGGCGAGAGCTCCCCGCGGCGGCGAGCCACTGCTGCAGCCGGGGCGTTGACCTGAGCAGCCCAAGAATCCGCCGACCGTGGACCCCCTGCCTCTGCTACGACTCCCTGGGCCCACAGGGGGAACATCTCCTTCGCCTTCTCCTGTTCCCTTCCACCTTCATCCCCCCCCCCCTCCTCCACCTCCTCGCAGTCGCCGTCGTCGCCTTTAGGGTCGGCGGCACCGGCCGTAGGGCCTTAGCGATGAGGAACGGGGCCCCTTGTTTCCCATAAGTTAAACTTCGAGGTCCCATGGAATACCTCACGAAAACCTGGGGCAAACTGTAAAGCTGCCAGGGAACTCCGAGCCCCCCCCCAACGAAAAGGGTTCGTTCTGCAGCGCCCCGACCGCGCTCTTCTTCACCCCCCCCGAGCCGAGAGGAGGGGAGCCCTTAGCGAAAAGAAAGCTGTATACTACACATGTTTTCATCCCGGCAACCCCACGCCAATCTTGGTCGAGTTCGCGGCAAGGCGGTCGGGGATACCCGCGAGCAGTTCAGATAGATGACCAGCGCGACATGGCGGTCAGGCAGCCGCCGACTTGATGCGAACAAGAGACCCAAACAGCACGAGGACAAGGGGAACGCGCGCCGGGCAGAGGGGCCCAGCGCTTCTCCGAGAAGTCCGCCGCGCGGAGCTCCGAAGTGTGTATATGGATACATATATATATATACATGTATATAACGTAGTTTTCTTGTTCGAGTGCTGGCTCGGTGGGAGGGGCCCAAACCCCCTCTCGCCGTGAGCAAATGAGGCGTCACGTTTGCGGGCACCTCTCGGCATCTGGGAGCCCCGACCGCGCCCTCCAGGGCCCTCCAAAGCCGCCTCGGGATGAGAAGGAGGGTCCCGGGGAAGGGGTCGACGGCTCAGGGGGCCCACAGGGTGAAGGAGCAAGCCGTGTAACAACTCGGTGTTAAACACAAAAAAGCAGCAGCAACAACACAACCACGTCGGGTGCTTGGGGACATCGGCGACACATCGCAGACCAGTCGGCGACAGGCCGCCGACACCGAGGCCGCACGCCTCTGGACAGGGCTGGGCATCCGAGTCCAGATTGGCGATGCACGGCCGACTACCACAAGGGAGGGTGACCCTGATGGGGGGGGCGTGAATTCGACCCGCTGGTGCACAGAACTGCCGCAAACAGAAGCCCCCCGCATGACCCACCTATCGGCAACTATCGGGAGCTGCCGGCGGCTGGGAGGCATCTCTTTTGGTCGGTTCGGTGCAAAAACCGATCGAACTCTCATGCACACACACACACACACACACACACACACGCTCACACACACACGCACACACACACACACACACACACACACACACACACACACGCGGGGCACACACACACACACCCTTTGCGGGATCCCAACAGAGGTCCGATGTCTCGAGTCTTCTTGCGGTCGGGGGTTGCCAAAGGTGCCCCTGGCCCAAGGTGCCCCCAGCTTCTCGCTCCATTCTGGAGCCCCTGGGGCCCTCTGGACCTCGCGATGGAGCGCCCTGGAGGCCGTGGAGGCCTCCCTGAAGTCCGGGGGGCACCCGTGGGGCAGGGGCACTTCGAGCCGCACCTGGTGCGGGGTCTCCGAAGTCCTGGCCCTCTCCCCAGCCCCGGCCCATCCATCCCTTTTCAGCTGGACCCCTTTTGCAAAGGGGGAGGAGGAGGAGGAGGAGGAGGAGGAGGGGGAGGAAGAGGAAGAGGAGGAGGAGGAGGAGGAGGAGGAGGAGGAGGAGGAGGGGGAGGAAGAGGAAGAGGAGGAGGAGGAGGAGGAGGAGGAGGAGGAGGAGGAGGAGGGGGAGGAGGGGGAGGAAGAGGAAGAGGAGGAGCAGGAGGAGAAGGAGCAGGAGGAGGAGGAGCAGCTTCGTCTAGTCTGGCCCCCGCTCCGAGCAGCTGGCCGGGTGGGCCGGGGGTCGTCGCGCCGCGTGCTCGGCCGTGGGCGGCCCCGCGCGTGCTGTTCGCCCGCGCGCGGGCTGGCCGGGCGGGCGCGTCGTGTCGACCCTGGTGTTTCCCGAGCGGTACGGCCAGAAAAAAACAGCCACGACGTTCATACTGGTGGGCCGGAGGAGGAGGAGGAGAAGAAGGAGGACTATCTTCGTCTTATCTCGCTTCTGCTCCGAGCAGCTGGCGGGGTGGGCTGGGCGTGTATTCCGTCCCTGAGCGGTGCGGACACAAAAAAGCAGCCACGACGTTCATA